AAAAACAAACAAACAAAAGATCTTAACTAAATGTGTTGTTTTGTCCTGATACTTTACTTACATTTACCAGTTAATTATGAGAAATATAATTAAAGGTTTCAGTGCACACGGAGCTTCCACAGCCCTCTGGGTGAGCCACCCTCCCACTACCTCCATGTCTTCAGCAATCCAGAAGTCCACCAAATCTCTCATTTAATGGTCTCACTCTGTCACCCAGGCTTGGAGGGCAGTGGTGCCTGGCTCACCGCAACTTTCACCTCCTGGGCTCAAACGATCCTCCTGCCTCAGCCTCCCAAGTAACTGGGAGTAGATGCATGCACCGCCATCCCCAGCTAATTTTTGTATTTTTTGTAGAGATGGGATTTCACTGTGTTGGCCAGACTGGTCTCGAACTCCTGACCTCAAGCCATCCACCCACATCAGCCTCCCAAAGTGCTAGGATTACAGGCATGAGCCACTGCACCTGGCCTCATTCAAGGGATTTTTTTTTTTTTTTTTTGAGATGGAGTTTCACTCCTGTTTGCCCAGTTTGGAGTACAATGGCGCGTTCTCAACTCATCACAATCTCTGCCTCCCAGGTTCAAGACATTCTCCTGCCTCAGCTTCCTGAGTAGCTGGGATTACAGACATGTGCCACCACGCCCAGCTAATTTTGTACTTTTAGTAGAGATGGGGTTTCACCATGTTGGCCAGGCTAGTCTTGAACTCCTGACCTCAGGTGATCCGCCTGCCTCAGCCTCCCAAAGTGCCGGGATTACAGGCATGAGCCACAACGCCAGCCTCAAAGGATTTTATAGCACTTAGTCTCCAGTCCTCTCTCCACCTTTGCTGGAGGTTTGGTGATGGGGCTTAAGTTCCAGCCCTCTAATCCTCTAATTACTTGGTCTGTCCGGTGACTTGTGCCCCTCTTGGGTATTTAGGGCCCCACACTAAGTCACCTCAGAAGCATAAACTCAGGTGTTATCAAAGGAGTTCACTATGAATAACAAAAGACACTCCTGTAGCTCATGGCATTCCCAAAGATATTCAGAGCTTTTATGACAGGAACCCAGGAAAAAGACAAGTGTATTTTGTATTTCATATTATGCCACAGTATATAACAACAAGCTCTGAGTAAGAGAAGGAAATTCAGGTCAATCTAAAGTTGAAACCTATATACTTTTTAAAGTTAAATGTATTGAAATGTAAATACAAGGCTGGGTGCAGTGGCTTACACCTGTAATCCCAACACTTTGGGAGGCCAAGGTGGGCGTATCTCCTGAGGTCAGGAGTTCCACACCATACCAGCCAAACATGGTGAAATCCCAGCTCTACTAAAAAATACAAAAATTAGCTGGCATGATGGCAGGCAATTGTAATCCCAGCTACTTGGGAGACGGAGGCAGGAGAATCATTTGAAGCCGGGAGGCAGAGCTTGCAGTAGGTTAAGATTGTGTCACTGCACTCCAGCTTGGTCAGCAGAGCAAGACTCTGTCTCAAAAACAAACAAACAAAAGTAAATACAGTCCAGATGTGGTGGCTCACACCTAGAATCCCAGCACTTTGGGAGTCTGAGGCAGGTGGATCACCAGAGGTTAGGAGTTCGAGGCCAGCCTGCCCAACGTGGTAAAACCCCATCGCTACTAAAAATACAGAAATAGCTGGGTATGATGGCACACATCTGTAATCTCAGCTGCTGGAGAGGCTGAGGCCCAAGAATCACTTGAACCTGGGAGGCAGAGGTTGCAGTGAGCCGAGATTGCACCATTGCACTCCAACCTGGACGACAGAATGAGATTGTCTCAAAAAAAAGTAAATACAGTTTAATTCACTCTATAGGTGTGCAATAATGTACACAATAACGTAAACATTAGTACAGCCAAAAAGATATAGAACGTTTCCATCACCCCGAAAAAGCTCCCCCATGTCACTTTGTATTCTCATCCAAAACACCACAGGATATCAGTTTGTAAAGGTCTTTCTCTTCAAAGAGGGAAAGGGCAGGTTGGGTTTTATGCCTCCCAGGGTCTGTATTACACAAGAAAGTCATATTCAGCAGGTTTTGGGGGAAGCTGTACATATTTATGGGGTGTTGACCGCATGTGCGATGGGTGAACATATAGGTAACATACATCCCCCATGCTTACTTTTGGGCAAGGTTGTGTGAGATGCATTTGAACCAGAGCAACTCCATCTTGTTTAGGGGCTGGGTAAAATGAGGCTGAGATTGATACAGGAGTTAAGAACAATTTACTTAAGCAGAAAGTGAGGGCACAGAAGTCTTCTGTAAGGTTTTCTTTTTAATTAAAAGCAACCCCAGATCATTTTCCTTTCTCAGCCTCACAAAGTGCTGGGATTACAGGCATGAGCCACTGCACCCAGACTTTATTTTTTCTTCTTCTTTTGAGGCAGTCTTGCCCTGTTGCCCAGGTCGGAGTGCAGTAATGCTATCATGGCTTACTGCAGCCTCCAACTCCTGAGATCAAGCGATTCTCCCAACTCAGCCTCTTGAGTAGCTAGGACAACAGGAATGCACTACCACACCCAACTAATTTTCTTAAGAGGCTGGGGCCAGGGGAGGTGGTTTCTGTTGTTTTGCTATGCACCCAGGACTTGGTTATCTCACTCAGGAATAACTAGCTTCTGGGAAAACCAACTGATGTTGAAAAACACACATTCACTCACAAAACTACAGTGTTATTTTACAGTGAAGAGAGCAGTATGTTCTTGTTACCTTTTTTTTTTTTTTT